GCTTGGAGGCCATCGCTCTTAGGTTGGAGGCCATTGCTAGTAGGTTGCAGTGCATCGTCGAAGACCTTCAGCACTGGCCAACACAGCCGCACCGGCGTAGTTCCTTCACAACTATATGTATAATTGTTGTTGGCAAAACCGAGTGGCAGTGTTTCTGCTCGTGAAGCGATATGCCTTTTACAAGGGACGAAGGGGAGTTGAACTTACGGAAAGCGTCACGCGATTGAGAACAAAAACTCCTGGACTCGTGGCATACCCAACAGCAAACTTGATTAAAGCAAGTGAAGCTCCTTCTATCTACATACAGATACAGATTTTGTCAGAAGTGTGTGCCAAGGAATCAAATTGAAATAGGTTCTTCGAGGATCATGAATACTAATAGAATAATGTCAGAATCCCGCATCCCTATCCCTACTCTCAGCCTTGGAGCGTGTCTGGTTCTCCTTCTTCGGCGAAGTAGGTTGTTCCTCCTCCAGTTTCCTGCCGCGAAGAAGCTTGAGAAACTAAAACAAGTAGTTTTGAAACGGTTCCAAACCCACTTGGTTGTCTTGTATGTTCAGGCAAGCTACACTGTTAATGGTTCGGACATGTTCGCACAGTTGCATCATGTTGCATCCATTCAGGTAGTCAAAACAGTGAACGAAATCATCACGTTTAAGTGACTGATTGTTTTTAAGACTGTGTGTTGTTCCTTTCTCTTCTAGCGGTTTCTTTTTTGTTAACAGGTCGAGGGGATCCCAGCTGTTCTTTTTTTCCCACTTCCATTGGATTACTTTCTCTCTCGCTCTCTTCGTGCCGGGTCACTCCGAAGTGCTTTGGACCGCCAGCTGCGTGAGTTCCGAAACGTTCCCAGAGGTTGAGCTGGCAGGAAGCGAGCTCGGCTGCAAATTGCGCCCGGTGTTCTGCAAAGGCTTCTCAGGCTCCTCCCGGACGCAGCGGGCCATGCGAAAAAGCAACACGTGAGTTGCATGAGGTATGGAACAGACCTTGATAGTTCATGCTTCAATCTACGATTCGCTCTGCAGGGTTACGGGGCTTTGTAAGGTCTGGTACAAAATCTATTGGAGTTGGGAAGTGCTACAACACCGCCAGCAACGCGTCACAATGTTTTCGAGGTTTCTTTCTGTGCGGAGTTGTTTGCGTTTGGGTAGCATCCGGATGGCCTGCTGCTTAGTAAAATATAATTTGCACATACAAACTCAGCGTAGTCCAGTCACTTGCAGCCACTTGCAGCCACTTGGCAGCCACTTGCAGCCACTTGGCAACCACTTGCAGCCACTTGGCAGCCACTTGCAGCCACTTGGCAGCCACTTGCAACCAAAAAGCTCGCAAGCCGCAAGCAGTGCCAAGTCACTGGAGATTGCTCAGAGTTCTTCGTGTAAAAACCGTGGAGAACATTAAGATTTCTTCATCGCCAGCTCTGCAGAAGTCCGGGATTTCTTCGCGGAAAAGCATCGAAGAAATCCTGGTTTTCTATGATATTCTCCGGACAGAAGTAGCAGTCAATTGCAGCCACTTGACAGTCACTTGCAGCCACTTGGCAGCCACTTGCAGCCACTTGCTTGGGCAGGCACTTGCAGTCACTTGAAAGCTGCAAGTGGCTGCAAAATGGAAGATCAAAATGCGCACCTCCTGCGAGCTCAATGCAATCTTGGCTCAACGAATCAACTGATCATGGTGTCGGCAAGATATGGGCCGCATGTTGGTGCAATGGTGTCTTGATGTTTCCATTGGTGTTTGTTCTTTTGTTGAACATAACTAATTAAAAGATATGAAAAGCTTACTGCTAAAAAAGAAAAGGCCGTTTAAAATCACCTGGGTCAGTGGAGGTCAAAATTGAGGTCGAATGAGGTCAACCTTGACGTGTCGCCTGCGCTGCATCTCGGGCGGCTTGAGTGGCCGTCACTGCCTGCCGACGGCGCTCCAGCTCAGCCTCGATGTCCTTCAGAGCGGAGGAGAGGGGAGCCAAAGCGAAAACGCGAAAGCACAGAGTCTACGTTCCTAGTAGCTTCTTGTTCCTAGTAGTACGGCCAGGAGCCCCTAGTAGCGTCTTTGCTCCTAGTAGCGATGCCAGGAGCCCCTAGTAGTGTTCTTTGCTCCTAGTTAAAAGCATTTAAACAACTATCGTTCAACTTCCACTTGCAAGACGGCTTTGCTCAACTTATGTTGTCACACCGACTTCTGTGGAATAAAGGGCGCCGTGGACGTCCTTTCTGTGGCGAAGACGATGGTTGTAGCGTTGCTTCTGCATGCGCTGTGTTCGTTGTACACCTTATGTGTATGCAGACGACTGGTCAGATATTAGGTCTCTTGCTTGGAAAGCGTGGTGGGAAGGCTTTGCACGAATCGCGCCACCACATTCTGAGCGCGCAGACCGACCGTGCTCAGGGATGTCATGGCAAGCCGAGATTGAAGTCAACATCGCAGTTGCTCACGATGCTGCACAGCGAAAAATGTGAATATGAGGGGTTGACCGCTCTGTTGATTGTTGGCCATGGATGGATGGCGCCCTGCGAGCGAGACACAATGGCATGGCCCAAGTTCGAGTTGCTTGTTCTTTGTTGCTACGATGAGTCTGACTCTTGCTAGTAGAGGTGGCAAGAGTGAGTGCCCAAGTGCTTCAGTGCAGCGGAGCGGTTGTTCTTGCTCTTTGTGTGGGGCTGTAGTCTATATAAGTTGTACAAATTTGGACCGCCCCACGCCCTTGGGGAGAATAACTGATCTGCTCGTGAGGTCGCTCTCAAGTACATGAGGAAGTTGCAGTTTTCTACACTATGCTTCTGCATTTTGTGAATCTTGATACAAATCATACCGGTAGCGTAGCTCTAGATTCAAATGCCGATGCTGCTTAGTGTGTTTGTTTTCTTACAAGGAATGTCTAACCATGTGAAGTTCGGGCGTTCGGTGCCCTGTCTTTGTAGCTTTGTAGCTAATTTCTTGCGCGTGGTATGATTTGCCTTTCAGTCTAGCTCGCCCAATAAGGGCAAAAGATTGGGGGTTGACAAGTTGAGTCAGCTGCATGTTAAATAACCAGATGCTGTGGCCACAGACGGAGTCTTCGGCAAGCACAAGCCAAAGGAGAGGATACAAACATGTTTTGTGTATACATAATACATATACATGTATATATATATAGTTGTAGATGTATGTATGTGATTAATATATATATATATATACACATATGTAACTCTGTGTGGCTCAAGGCTCAAGCCGTTTAGCCTCAAGCTCGGTGGCTCTCGGCCGCCGAGGGTCCTCGTCTACCAGTTCACCACGAGGCTGAGAATCCCTCCGGCCAGATCGTGAAGGGTGCCGGCATCCATGGACATGAGCGGCGGCCGCCTTTGCAGATCTTACCAAGTTTGTGGGGGAGATCATTGCTTCAATTGGATTTGGTCCGACAAGATTCGAGAGGGCTATGTTTGCAGGCGATGCGGAGAGCAGTGGCCCTGTCCTCCTCAAGGGTATTCTCAGGCCCCACCGTCCAGATCACCCAAACGGTCAGGCCGACAGCAGATGCCACTGAAGCCTCCCCCAGGCCTAGGCAACAAGCCCTACAAGCTGACGAAGATCCAGAAGGCCACCGCTGAAGCTTTGGCACCGGCTTGGTCTTCTTTGGACCAAACCCTGCAACAACGCCTTCAGGAACTTGGCATTCAGCCACCGCCCCCAAGCCCGGGGCCGGATCTAAAAGATGTCCTGGTGGAGAACATGGCTCAGCTGCCGCCACAGGT